GAAATGATCCCACTCACAGAAGATGTGATGAAACTGCATCAAGTATTGAAGTCCACAGCAGAGGAGGCAAAAGTGAAACTCATGGACGCACCTAACCCTAAAGCATACAAGATTCTCAGTGAGTGCCTTCTCTCACAAATCATACTTTTCAACCGAAGACGGTAAGGTGAAGCAACAAAATTGCCTCTGTTGATCTATAGGAACAGAACCAAAGAAAAACCAAATGAGGACATTATGCTGTGCCTTTCAAAACTGGAACAAGATTTGAGTCATGAGTTTACCAGGTTGGTGATAAGAGGGAAGAGAGGCTGTAAAGTACCTGTGCTGCTTACCAGCGAGATGACAAAATCACTTGATTTCCTCATTGAGCAAAGGGGTGAGGACAATGGCATTTTGGGTAGTAATGAGTACGTCATTGCAAGACAGCATTCGGATTCTCATCTCTGAGGTTCAGATTGTTTGAGGAACTATGCAGCTTCAAGCGGGGCAAGGAAGCCTGAAACACTCACGTCAACCCACCTGAGGAAACGTGGCTACACTTAGTCAGATAATGAACCTGAAAAAAAATGAGTTGGATCAACTTGCCAAAATATGGGACATGATATTCATGTTCAACGTGAATACTATCACCTAACCGAGAACACACTTCAGCTTCCAAAGATGAGCAAGCTGCTCAAGCAAATCGAACGTGGAACTGAGGTCTACAAAGGCAAATCTCTTGATGAGATTGATTTGGGCATACAAAGTGAGTAGAAAATAGATTTCATGATAGAATGCAATTTATACTTGCAATGCTTTGTTTTTGTTTTTTTTTGTTCTACTCGCCACTTTAGTATGTGAACTAAGATAAGTTCACAAAATGTTTTTATCAAAACAGGTGGTTTTGTCCTCAATGAGAAGTCTTTGGAAACAGCTCAAGATTCCTATGGTATGAAGCCGTCAGAGCTGTTACCTTGAATATCAGCTGTCTTTCCCATCTATAAATGACAGAAAGTAACTTAAAATGTCTATCCTGGTTACTACTTCTCTTTAAGGGTCCTCCAAATGCAAGAGATCAAAGATGGCATCTGAATCATCTCAAGTTTCAGACGGTATGAACATTTTTTGGGTCATGCAAGGAGCACTGTGGAATGAAACATTGCATTATCTGATAAGAAAATGATTTGTGGTTAATAGTGAGGTGATGTGTTTTTCTGCTGCAGAAGAATCAGACATGCTGACTCAACAGGCCTCAGCTACAGGACCATCACACAAGCTCAAAAGGACAGAGAAAATAGGTGCTGCTCAGTTCTCAGACTTGAATAGTGTTAATTACAGTAGATGTGGATTAACAACACATTACAAATTAGATCACCAGATAAATTTTTGATTTACCAATATTGAGAATGTCTATCACATTTGTCATTTCTATTTCAGCTGTGGACAGACAGTTACTCAGCAAAAACAAACGCCAGCACAGGCCGTGAGAAAAAGCAGCGGTGTGGCGACAACTGGGGCACTGCATCACTAAGAGTTCCTGGTAAAGAGGTCTGCCTCAAGGCACTTGAAGCAGAACCAGCACTGGGCAGTCACAACTGGAAAGATTTTAAAGAATAATGTCCACAACTCCATCATGTCTCAAAAAAGGAAATTGTTGTAGTTCGTTTCTAATTTATGTTGTGCAAATAAAGGCAGTTGTGACTAATTTTGTGTGCTAAATTGTTTATCAAGCTTCTATCAATGGAGTGGGTGAATTAAAATATTTTATAATACATTTTTTAATAGATGTAAATACAATCAAATTTAAATACACTTTACATTGGCAAAATTAAAAACCACATGCTTTCATCTTTGTAATGCTGTGGTTTGGGTTAATCAGGAAAGTAAGATGGGACAGTTATGAAAGATCTGCTAAAATCTGGTGATATAACATGCACTGTGACAAAAGGTCCAGTTCATCAAATCTGCTTGGCAACACGCTCCGGTCCTCACACATGTAGAAGAAAAAGATTTTTTTATTTTGAGTTTTCTGAATTTTGATGTGACATTTTGATTCTCTATTACCACCTCATGATAGATTTGTGTTTTGCACCATTGTAGCTATAGTAGAAGTGGTGGCCCTCACAAAGATGTCACAGAACGTGGGCCACACAAAGGCATAAAGACGTGTGTGTGTGTGTGTGTGTGTGTTTAATACAAAATTTGTAAAATATAAATGTGACAAAGTGGATGAGAACACTCCATTTGTCCCTAAGTTAAGTCACATACATTTCTCAGTGACAGTTTATGTTTAAATGTTTGGTTATACTCACCCTGTGGACAGAAGACAAAAGAAAGAAGCATCCAACAACTTCCTCATTTTATACACTGATATCATCAGTGATGTCATGGGGGTGAACCAAGTAGGAGGTGGGGATCATTAATGTTAAGTGGTTAAGTTACAGAGATTGAGAATTTTATGTATACCTTAAAAGTCAGTGACTCTGTTGAATGTTGGGTGTAAGTTGTAAGGATAGAAGTATGGATCTACCTGTAGGACTTGGGAAATGGTGTAGTCTGAGGGAGGGTTGATCCAGACTATGGTGCTATTTAAGTAGTTGCTGTGGAGGAAGCAGGCTAAGGAAGTGTAGCTGTGTGCATGTGCCTGTATTTTGAGTGGTGTTATTTTGAGTTGTGTTTTCTTCAGTTTAGTTTTCTTCAGGTTATGTGAAGTTAACTGTTTGTTTAGGGATTTTCTTTTGGCATGTGTATCTTGGTGGCACATTTTTAAATAAATAATCAATTTGAGAAACCTGACAATGTTTTTTTGAGTCGGTCTCCTACTATTTTTGGCTGCTCAGATCAAATCTACCACAGTAAGATTCCAGTCATTTTCATATAGTCCCTTACTATTCCTATACACTCCCTGACAAAAGTCTTGTCGCCTATCCAAGTTGTAGGAACAACAAATAATAACTTGACTTCTAGTTGATCATTTGGAATCAGAAGTGACTTATATGAAAGGCAAAGGCCTCTAGATTATGCTTCTTTTACCAAAATAAAATCTCATCATTCCTTGATTTTTAATTATTTAATTAGGACAGAAAGGTCCGACTTTGCTTAGACAAAAGTCTTGTCGCATAACAAAATAATGTACAGTACAGAACATAAAGTCATGGTGCCGTGGAAAAAGAATTAATATTGTGTATGACTCCCATGAGCTTGGAGGACTGCATTCATAAGTCTCAGCAATGACTCAAATAACTTATTAATGGAGTCATTTGGAATGGCAAAGAAAGCATTCTTGCAGGACTCCCAGAGTTCATCAAGATTCTTTGGTTTCATCTTCAATGCATCCTCCATCTTACCCCAGACATGGTCAATAATGTTCATGTCTGGTGACTGGGCTGGCCAATCCTGGAGCACCTTGACCTTCTTTGCTTTCAGGAACTTTGATGTGGAGGTTGAAGTATGAGAAGGAGCGCCATCCTGCAGAAAAATTTGCCCTCTCTTGTGGTTTGGAATGTAATGGGCAGCAAGAATGTCTTGATAGGCTGTTGATGTTGCCATCCACTCTGCAGATGTCTCGCACGCCACCATACTGAATGTAACCCCAAACCATGATTTTACCTCCACCGAACTTGACTGTTTTCTGTGTGAATCTTGGGTCCATGCGGGTTCCAATAGGTTTTCTGCAGTATTTGCGACGATTGGGATGCAGTTCAATAGATGATTCATCCGAAAAATCAACCTTCTGCCACTTTTCCACTGTCCATCCTTCCTGCAAGCGGTGGGCCTTGGCAAATGCAACACGATTTTTTAGTTGTCTTCTGTTTAATGCTGGTTTCTGAGCACTAGTTCGGCCATTGAGACCACTGCTTAAGAGAATTCGACAAACTGTTCTTCTAGATACAGGGGTTTCTGGTGACCAGTTTTTATGTAGCTCTGCTGCAGTTGAAAAAGGGCCGGCCCTGGACTGTCAGAGCAACAAACGGTCCTCTCGAATAGTTGTCTTACGGGGTCTGCCTGACCTGTCATGAACTTCACCAGTTTCTTCATATCTTTTTCTTATCCTCGTCACTTGATGTTTAGATACATTAAAGATGTCTGCCACCTCAGCAGGAGACTTGGTCTTCAGGCTCTTAATGAGCAGCACATTGGTCTGTGGTTGAATCTTTGGCATGCTGTCAGAGGTCAGATTGCATTCCAAATGAAGGTTGGGTGTGCTGGGGTTCTTCTTATACACACCTGGAAATGTGTTAATTACAGTATTTGTCACAGGTGATGCTCTAATCTGTGATTGGTTGAATGCTTTAAAGATACGGCAAGACTTTTGTCCTTGCAGAAACACATGTTATGGGCTTTACCAAGCTGTGAACATCAGGACACTTTTTGATGGTTTCATTTTGCACCCAGTTATTAATGTGAATGCCCTTGACATTAAAATTAACAATTTATTGTGACAACTGAATGATTAGAAATAAAGTTATATGACATTTTAGGTTACTATGTCCTTATAGGACAAGACTTTTGTCAGGGAGTGTACATCGTAGACTGCATCTGTGCAGGTATGATCACAGCTGATCACTGGAGGTGCTGCGCTCGAATGAGGGAGACAACGTCATTTCCTGTTGCCATCTTTGTTTATGTGATAAGTATAACATTAACTTCAAATTTCAAATGACAACAGCAGTAGTACCATCCAATCTGCTCAGGCCAGCACAAACAGAGCAGCAGAAAAGAGGCATAGTTAGTTGAACATGAAGATATACAGCTTGAAACACAACACAAGATAACAGCTTACAGTTGCTCACTGACAAACACATTACAGAACAAAGAGAATAAATCTGGGCTTAGATAAGTAATGAATACAAATAAAATAACACAAACCAGTAAACATAAAAACCACTCTATACAGTACAATCACATTAGACCTTCTTTATGAGCTTTTTACAAAGTGTACTACTTGGGTTGTAGAGGGTGGAACTTGGCTCATTTTGTGTCAGAATCCAGGTACATTTTTGTACTTCACTGACTTCTACCTGTTCACGCATGATGCTGGACAGCTCCCTGCTCAGGTCCCTGTAGTTGGCCTTCATCTCATCATGATACTCCTGCTGGTCTTCTTTGATCAGTCGCTCGTTCACTCCCAGCGCTTGACCACAGGTGTCCACAAACTGCCTAAGGAGAGATTCACAAGCGTTTCCTACACACACCAAAGATATATTATAGATATAATGTTATCTTACTTAGTTTGTGTTGAATTCTGAGGTGCTTGTTCTTTGGATCTGTCAGTCACAGATAAGGGACATTCATGACATAGAAGAGAAGTTGTGGTGTTAGAGGTTTCTGTCATCAGTCAGTACCTGAAAACCTCTTTGAGCTGTTTGACCTTGTTGTCGGGATATTTCTTGGCACTGCTGTCATCTAAGAAGGCTCTGGCATAAGCAAGAGGGCCGGCATTTACCTGGAGTGGGGTCAAAGATCCTGATTACACTGAAATAATCCAGGAGAAGTAAAATGATTTACAGCCTTTTAAATAGCGACATGACCTGGCCATTTGTACCCGAACACTGACGCTGCCTTGCAGTTTGAGCTGCAGGCAGATTATGTCCACCTCAGAGGCCGAGCACAGTAGTTGCAGTTCAGCCACCTTGGTGCTCATCTCATCGATGGCCACCTCTATGGGGCTCAGGTTAGTCTGGTGTTGGTACATGACTGCTATGCTCTTCTTCACATACGGGAAACAGTGTGTGGCTGGGTACAAATAGGGTTGGAGGAGAAAATGTATGACTTCAAATGCCATGTCAGTTGTGGTTTGTTATCAGGAATTATACTGGTACTAGCCTGGATATTGAGCCATGAGTACACCTCTTACATACATGTTGTTGTGTGTCTAGTTGTGCCCATGCTGACATTCATAACCAGATTATTAACCATGTTCCACTGTGCATGTAAACAGTCACTGAGTGAGTGAGTCTCTTCTGCAGTCAAATCATTATCAGTCAGTGTGATTATTAACAAGAATATGTGTGAGCCTTTGCTATGGCATCAGTTAGCTGATTATTAACAAAGCAAGATAACACCTGAACTTTGGGATAAAGTGGACAGCACAGTAATAAACCACATGTGGCCTTTTATGACAAATGTGATTAAAGTTTCAGGTGATTGATCCTAAGGTCCATCTGAGAGGTAACAGATGGCACGAGGAACATAAGTGAACTACACTGATGAATATTCACTGTCACTGGTGTGTGACCTACTGGTGAGAACAGTCCGTCGTTTACACTGCTCCTCCACTCCCCCTCCACTCCTCCCCGTTTCTTGCCCAACACTGTGAATGGCATCTCAAACACAAAGCGCCGGATGTTGTGGCTCTTCTCAAAGTCCGTCTTCCTCTCCTCAAGCTCCTTGTCTTCTAGGTAGGGTGTGACGTGGGTCACCTGGATGTAGGCGTGCTTGCAGTCTAGGTCCTTTGGATTCACCTGGTCAGGGAGAAAAGGATAAAGATATAGATGTAGAACACAGACAAGTGTAAAATATCACTGGGTTCGTGGGAAGGAATAGTTTGAGAATTGAGAAATATGTTCATTCTCTTTTGTTGGTGTAGATCTTTGGTTCTTGTTACCATTGCTAACTCTGAGAGACGAGACAGTCCAAGTAACTTCAAAACAGTGCTGATTTAGTCAAAGGATCACAGGTAAAATTAACATTACACGCTCAGATATCTTGCACCTCCAAACTGCTCGCAGGCAGATGTAAGATGAAAGACCCTGAACCCACCAGGCCTATACATTATATCCCCTCGGTTGGGCTAGCCCCATACTACACAGAAACGTCATGCCCATGCTGCCCCTCTCATCACACGGGCTGACTAGTTTAAACTTTTTTTTTTTATTTCCGGGTTGTAAGCGAGAGCAGACGTCTTTACTGCTCCTCTTGTCTGTTCTACGGTTTTTCACATCTTCTACACTTTCAAGTCTTTGAACAAATTCTATAACTATTAAAAAGCCTTCAAGAGGGAAAAGAGCTAATAAATCAGAAGCGACTGAGGATATGGAGACAGAAGAAGTGTATCACAGAGCGGCGCAAGTAACAGACATTGTGGATCAGCAGAAACAGATGTACATCGCGCTGATAAACCAACAGCAGGAAAACTTCAAAGGCTTCGTGCAACTAATTATGGAGACAAACAACAAGAGATTCGACGACAT